GAACCTATTATCGAAGACAACACCTTAAGGAGTGACCCGAAGGAATGAATCCAGCAGGAAGCTTCGACCGAAAAGGAAAACCTGTCCAAAACAAGAAAAAGTAGGAAGTCACAGATGGCCAGAGCAAGAAAAGCGGGGAGTCACAGATGACCCGTGTTGCTGTGTGAAAATAACATTTAAAAGCAAGGCAAAAGGGTCGGGAGTCACAGATGACAGGCGCTTGTTTGAGAAGAAGTCACAGGCCTGCCAATGAATAAGAACACTTTCGGGTGAGGTGATGTGTGGTGATGCCAGGCGGAGGGAGTCACAAATGACGGGGATTTACCTGGCCAAGAGGCAGGAGCGTAGGGAGTCACAAATGACAGAAATAGGGAGTCACAAATGACAGGTGTGCCGATTGCAGCCACTACATTGAAAGCTGCACTGGCTCGCCATAGAAACAAACTTTCCTGGCCAAAGATAGCACAGGGCTTCAGTAGGTTGTTGAGCATTTCTGCCTGTGCCTTGAAGGACTATTATACGCATGATTTGCCACGTTTTCTCCTTCAGCAGAAACATGTTCTTCTCGACAAGACGAGTTCATTTCCCGCCACCGAAACGAGTTCTCCTGGTCGGAGTTTTAACAACAAAATCGCTCTCCGCCGCAGTTTGCTTTTTCGCCCCCGAAACGTGACGAACTCTCTGAGTCAGTGTTTGTTCGTTTCTCCCGCCCGCTCGCTTTGCACGTGGCTCGCGCTCAGGATTACAGGTTTACGTTGCCGAGTACAGCGGTCAAACTAGATCTATCGTGCCTCGGACCTTACTCCGTTTCTGTGACTTTACCGCGGCTTCGCTATGGGACGTCAAGACTTGCAAAAGGACATTGCGGTCGCAGATCTCAGTGTCATAAGTTTCGGCTGTTACACTTCTGAACCGCAGCTCTCGAGTTGAAGGAAACACGGAAACATGGTAGCGGAGCCTCCTAGAGTCCTACAGAGCCCTTTATACACTCAAAGGCATGTGTTTGCACCTGCGATTCTCGATCTTTCTGCGCGTCGTCTAAGAAGCGATGTGCTAAATTCGGTATACAGGTACCGCTGCGTCGTTCAGGTGTTATAACATCCGCAGGTGAAAATCCCATGCGGGTCGCGGGAGGTGGCAGAAAGCGAATGCAAAACCAAGAAGAAACTGCGTGAGGATGCCCGGCTCACCGATGAGGAGTTGGACGACTTCTTCGAAGTCTGCAAGCTTGCCCTGCAACAGGCAGGGGGTGGTGGAAAGAGTTCATGGGTCGATGCTTTGCTGCTTGGGCCCGGGATCTTCTCGTCTTGGCGGAGGGGCCCTGGCCCTTTGGCGGATCAGATGCAGAGCGGGCTGCGCTTAACCGCGGAGGCGGCGCCCGACTTCGACATGGAGAAACTCGAGACCGAGGCAGAGCAGGGCCCCAAACGCTCCTCTTTTAAGTGGTTGCGAATTTCTATTCACGTGTCTCACAAAAAGTACATGTCGACACCGCTGCGTTACATGGGGACTCGGACCACCCCGGCAGTGAAGAAAGGCACGTGGGGGAGGACACTAAAGAGTTTGTGCGATGCGCCCATTTGGATGTGATTGGTACCCGGTTACCGGCTGAAGGGTCACTAGCAAGACCAATGCCTTCGTTTCGTTGCGAGCGAAGTGAAAGTCCAAAATCCAGAAGGGCAATTCTGCAATGCATTGCGATGCTTTGCTGCGTTTGAACGCAGCGGCAGCTGGAAGGCGCTGAAGCCACGAACAGACAGAGATCGTTGCTGGGTTGACCTGTTCATGTGTAGTGCAGACGATGGGCACAGGCAGTACTCGGGGAAGGCCGATCCATGCAAGCTCAACTCACAGAATGGCACATATCACTCTCTCGCCTTGGAGGTCCGCTCCGTCGGTTTGGGCCTGTGCAACCTGCGCTTCCTCACCAACGCCACAGTGGCTGGGTGCGACCCAGTGCCCGGCAGGCAGCGAGCTCGCGCTCCACCTTGAAACAAAAACCGCGAAAAGCGTCGCAGGAGCAGCGCCATGCTGGCCTTGGTCCTCTTTAGTTCCCGCCGCCGCCCAAGCCGCCCAAAGCTTCACAGCTGCGCGACGCCGCGACGTCGTCCGATCTCTGAGATCCCGAGAAGTACGAGCACGAGCTGTGCATCGCACTGAAGTCCGCCGGGAGCCCGTTTTGCATCAGAAGCTCCATATCGGGCCCGTTGGGAGCCGCGCGGATGGCTGCGGAACACGGAGGTCCTGCAAGACGAGGCAAAGGTCGCCGGGTGGATTCAGGAGAAGAAGGCCAAAGCCAAGCCACAGGCCCGGTCGGTGCGGTGTTTTTTGATGCTCTGCCCCATCCAAGCCCAAGCATTGCTGATGCTTTGAGGAGCAGGGGCGGATTCCCGGGCACGAGCTCATGGACCTCGCACGAGAGGCACTCGTACGAGAGGCGTAAAGAAAGTCCTTCGGCCGCGAGTCTGCAGGTCATGAGTGCCGCTCTGGAGAAGGAGAAGGAAGAAGTCTGAGGAAGAAGGTGCCGGCAGGGCACCGAGCCGGAGCCGGGTGCAAAAGGCATCCCGAGGCCCGAGCCCTCGGCCCGATCCCAACCGTGCCGCACGGGGAAAAAGAGTTTTTTTGCGGAGTTTCTAGCTGGAGAGCGTTTTATGCGAGTGCGGCTGCGCCCGCGCTGATTCAGACCTCTGCTGCGACGCCGGCCGACGCTGCGTGCTGCGCTCTTGGCGGAGGACCTCCAAAGGCAAAGGCGGCAAAGGCCGCGAAGCCGCGGCTGCTTCAGCACTTCAGCTCCACTCGCAGGAGGCCCCCGTGACGCCTCCGGGCCCAGCGCAAGCGGCCGTGGCGGTGCCTGAGCCCGGGAGGCTGCCGCTTGACTGGCGCCGCGGCGACAGGCGACGTGTGACGACGTCATAGCGGATGCAAGCCTCACGGAGGGTAGCACGGCAATTTGTGCCACGACCACATTACCGCTCGCAGCCGTCTGCACGAGTACACTCGACCGACCGATCTATCTATAGAAATATGTAATATTAATTATGTATATATCCTTAACGACACGACATACGACATGCCTCTAGTGCAAAAAAGGGGGCAACACGCCAACGCCCCCGCTTGCTCGGTTAAGTGATGTGAGCTCCCCTCCGCCTTCGTTCGCGGGGAGGTGCTCGGTCTGGTCCAACTCGGCGCAGCGCTGGCCCGGGACTCAGCTGCGGCGCCTGCGCGCGAAGCGGGAAGAGCCCGCCGGGACCGGGACCGCCGGGACCGCCGCCGGGACCGCCTGAAATTTGTGTTTGTTGATGTACAGCGAACTATATGGCGGTTGGGTTGGTTTTTTGACGTTTCCCATCGGCGGGGGGGTTGGGCCGGGCAGGTGTGATGGTGAAGTCGTGAACCTGGCCGAGCGGGACCCGCCCTTAGCGCCGTCCCGTGGCGAAAGCCGGATTCACCGGATTTACCGGATTCCGGAGGCCACGGAGAAGGTTCCTCAAGGCAGCGTTGAAGTGGCCTTCGAGCTGGGGCGCAAGCACGGCCCCCGGGCTCGAGACATCACCTTTCAATTTTAAGTCCAGCGCAGCTGATGTTCATGGCACCATGTCCCGAGTGTGTTCGCTGACCAGCTAGCTCCTTCAGTTGAAACCGTTGTTGGGAAGTCTTGGGCGACGGTGGCCTGTAAACGGGACGGAGCCAAGTTCAACGATGCTTATGGCGAAGGGAAGACTGCACCAGATGCCAAGGCATGAGGTGTAAAGCAGGATCAAACCGCTGAGGTGGATCGCCCCCAGTGACCTGGGCCGCGCACTGAGCCGCCGCTGAACGACCGGCAGAGGAAGCTGGGCGCTGGGAGAGAATTCTTGCAAAGTCCAAAAAAGGCCGCTCTCGCAGAGTCACACAGAGCACTTCGCAGTCTGCGCTTCAAGCGCCTCACTTCGGGGGTTTTCGGGGGGAGGTACTCGGCCCACAGCCAATGGGCTGCGGCTTTGCTGCTCCTTTTCATGGCGGGCGTCCTCATCGCCGCATGCAAAACCGGCGCCCCCTTTCCAGGGCTGACAATCGGATTCTCGGAAAACAGTATGGACAATGCAAGTAAACCAAGACTGTGGATGGAGGGCTCAACAGATATGTAGTTAGTTTGGTAGATAGACATCGAGACAGCGTGTGTGTGTCTGTGTGTGTCTCTGTGTGTCTGTGTGTGTTTGTCTGTGTCTGTGCGTGTGTGTGTGTGTGTCTGTGTGTGTGTGTGTGTCTGTGTGTGTGTGTCTGTGTGTGTGTGTGTGTGTGTGTGTGTCTGTGTGTGTGTGTGTGTCTGTGTGTGTCTCTCTGTGTGTGTCTCGCTGTGTGTGTCTCTGTGTGTGTGTGTGTCTGTGTGTGTGTGTGTGTGTCTGTGTGTGTCTGTGTGTGTCTGTGTGTGTGTGTGTGTGTGTGTGTCTGTGTGTGTGTGTGTGTCTGTGTGTGTCTCTCTGTGTGTGTCTCGCTGTGTGTGTCTCTGTGTGTGTGTCTGTGTGTGTGTGTGTGTGTGTGTGTCTCTGTGTGTGTGTGTCTGTGTGTGTCTCTGTGTGTGTGTGTGTGTGTGTGTGTTGTGTGTGTGTGTTGTGTGTGTGTGTGTGCGCGCGATAAGTTTTCGTTGTGGCTCAAGCCGCGAGTGGTTCAAGAAACTGAGAGGCAGTTCCAATTTTGAAAAGAGCAAGCGTAAACAGGTCAGCCAAAAGATGCAGAGCAGGGAGGGTGTCTTGGGTCTTCAAAAGAGTACCTCGGTTGTGTTGGGTTTTCGAAGGGGTGGCTTCTGGGGACCTCAGTTGTGTCTTGGATCCTCAAAAGAACATGAAAAGGCGAAGATCTTTGTTTGGGGGTTGTATATATGTATATACTATATACACACATACATATACATATGCTGATTTTTATACATATATACGTACTGCCTCGAACGTTATCATATCCCTGTCACATCGCACGTCTTCAGCATATGCAGGCGACGTTATTGGCGAGCACAGTGTGCAATGTCCGTGTTCCCTTTTCTGTCCTATCTTGATATCCGTTTCTATCATGTGCTTCTGCCGCATTGAAGAAGCAGAACCTTCGAGTTTCCGGTGAGACGCTCTGGCGCCAGATCTGCCTCCCGACCAGAGCGAGTTAGACCTCTTGGCGCGGCAGGTTTGGCACTGGAGACGGGAGGGAAGGGAGGAACGGGGAGAAGGGAACAGGTTTCAGTCTCCTCGCCTCTCGCGGGAGGCCTGGGCAGGGCTGCTCTTCAGCACGGCGCTTATCCAGTCAAGCTTCGCTGGCTTGGCTCCTCGAGAAGCAAAAGAAAACTCTTTTCTTGGCACAGTCTGGCTGCCGTTGCTGGCCTGGCTCCTGCACTACGCCGGACCCTCAACTCTCAACCTCCTTCTGCTCCTCTGCTCCTCTCCTGTCAGGACCCGAGAGCTCGGCGACCCAGCAAGGGCACGGCACCCAGTGGGAGAGCGAGAGCTATGTGGCGCCGTGGCACAGTTCAAAACAAGGTCGCGTGGGACGCTGCAAGCACGGGCAGCTGCCTCACGAAGATTGCAAAGTAGTTTGCCTTCCGGTCTGCCATGTTCGCAGACTTTGCATTCTTTCTTGTTTTTCAGGTGCATCTTCCAGCTCGTGCCGAAGACTCGGCACTGCCGTCGATGTCCAGCGCTCAGAGTCTCGTCGGCTCACGTTGCAGTGGCTACGGCTACGAGCTACGTGAGGTGAGAAGTGTGTGGCCGGCTTTGACCATCACTGCCTCTGGCTCAACACGGCTTGGCGGCCCAGCGAAACGCCGCGCTTGGCGCATTGCGAGCACAGCGCGTGGCACGAGCTGAGAGTTGCCTCCGCGGCGTTAGGCTTCCCGGTTAGGCTTTCCTGCGCGGTGAGTTGCAGTGGATCCGTGGCACTGTGGCATGTGCCTTTGGGTGGATTGGTTGGCGGGCGTTTGAACAAAGGGCTCATGTAAATGTTTGAGTAACTTAATCGAAATGAATGCAGGGGGCACGGCGCTCTTGCTTCTAGCCATGCTGACAAGCTATGTGCCTTGAGTGGAGGGAGTCACTGACGAGTGACTCTGTGCCTGCAGAAAATGCAACAGACGCGCCACGGACGTTGGATCATAGCTTGGGCATCTGCATCTACTTTCGTCTTGTGCAAACAGGTTCTCGGGCATTGCTTGAACGCGAGTGTTGGTGTGCAGTCCTGTCATGCTGCATGTGCAGCATGTGCAGGAGTTACATGTTCGACATGTCAGATGTCACTGAGCTTTGTAATCATTGATATGACGCCTGGAGTCCCGTATACTATAATACTACACAAAAACAACAAGCGGCAGAGCCGAACGATTTGACCTTTAAAGAAGAGCCAACTTCCCGACGACATGGAAAGATCATGAAATCTGATGCATGTGTGTGCTTAGTTTGGCTGTCCTCTTGGCGCCAGCTGCGTGGAGGGTAGCCTCCACGATCCTGACCGCAGCTCTTGACTTGACTGACTTTCGAGCCACGGGAAGAAGTTCTGAAGTTAGGCTATAGGCATCTTGCGTTCATCGCTGTTGTTGAGTTGCACGTTGCTGTGAGACGCCATGATATTCGGACGGCAGAGAGTTGTGGAAGAAGAAGAAGAAGAAGTGTACGGTTGAAAAGCAGGAAATCTGCTTTTGCAATTGAAATGATTCCACAATTGACAAAGGCTCCAATGAAATGAGACCCCAGTGACTTCACAATGCGGGTCGAAAATTGTGGCCCGATAGCATAGCACCGCATATGAAATTTTAATCAACAGTTGATGTCATGCACCGGCCTCAACAAGCACGACCCGCCCAATCTAGGGGAGCCGGAGAATTGCTGATCGTTTTCTTGGATGGGGATGGGTACAACGCTCGCTGCCCCACCGGCCCCTCCGGTTCCACAAGAAGCCTTGCATGTCGCTCCAATGGGAGTCGATGTTGCAAATATGCAAGAGCAAATTTTCAGAAAGCAACTTAAGCAGGGATACGCGTGTAGCCGGGATAGGGTGTATGTTTTTGGCCGTTTTACATGGTCATCAAAAATTGCACTTTCGTGAGTTTAAACCCCCACCTTTTAATTTTAGATCATGACAGTTTAGTGTGGTTTACTTGTCGGTGGTGTTTTTTGCGTATTCAAGTCTGAAGCTTCTAAGCTACACAAAAAGCAAGCACATTAAGCAAAAACCCGCTTGGACAGCGGTTTGATGTTAATGGATTTGTGTGGAAAGATAGTAGTATGAATTTGTGGATTGGATAACAGGCCGAAAATAAGCACAGAATTTGACTACCAGATGTTGCCTGGGGTGTATTTCCTCAGCTGTTTTGAGAGGCCATCCGTATTTGAACCCGATGACACTTACCCGCTGTGCATCCCCCGTCGTTCTGCAACGGTGGACATTATCTGCATCGCCGATGCCACGCTCTTCGCTGGACTAGTGCCTTGCGCCCTCCAATTTGCGCTGCTCATGACATGATTGTTGCTGATGCGACGTGTGTGCATGCGAGCATGGTCGAAGCCGTTTGATGAGCATCGGTTCTTTGATTGCCACATGCTGGACCAGACTCAGAGCCCAGTTCTAGAGCATGAGCACAGCTTCTATTACCTTCAGTCACAGCAACACTGCAGACGACTTGCATGGGCACTGTCACTCGGACAGACGTCTTTCATTCGCACAGCATATATACTGCAGCTTAACACGTACATGTAGCGTCCCTGTCTAGGTCCTAGGGAAATGTAAACCTGTATACACTACTTAGTTCCCCACACGTCTCTTACACATTATCCTCGCCGTTCCTTAGTTCATTTTTTGCAGGCATGGCTTTTTCCGATGCCAACCCAACTCCCTTCGCTCCCACTTCGCCTTGGCAGCCTTTCCCGACGGGCAACATGGGGAGCTACTCGCGAGACTCGGGGGACGTTCGCGTCTCGACGGACGCGAGGTTTTGACTGTCGGCTCTGACAAACAGTGCAGATAGCACAGTGACACGATGTGTGCACTTATGACTGCACGATGTGTGTTGCTACGCAGGCCCGGCCAGCACGAGTTCTCACACGTTGGGCAGCAATGGCGTCGTCGGCCAGACAACTACCCAAAAATCGACGAGAAGAAGTACATGTGTTGGGACATCGACGTTCGAGGGCTGGGCCTGACGGACATGGAGCAAAGCAACATTTGCCCGCGAGGTACCACACCGGCAATCCAGTGTCGTTGCACCGATGCAATGCGGAGTAGATAAGTGGCCTGTGACGTAGTTCATGTTATTCATTGTTGCTAAAGGTTCCCGGACGGTCAGCTACACGGTTCTCCAGCCCTTGTCAATCAATCATTATCCAATGCGGAACACGCTGCTCCTTTTCCCCGCCGTTCTGTCTTGTGTATCGGAGTTCAGTTTCGACAACATGCGGCTGATCATTAACTTCTACGTACTGCAGCTGTGTTGCATATGCTCCATTCGCCTTGACTGACTGGTTGTTCATCATAAAGATTAAAATCTGCTGAGCCAAACGGGGCAAACGCCGCGCCGCCGGACTGTCCACGCTGGTCGCCCTCGCGACGGGGAACGCCATCTTTCTCCCGACATTCAACCACCCCAATATGTGGGACATGAAGTGGTACCATTGTTTTGTCGCCGCCGGACCTCGGCCCGTCAGATAAACTGCCGGAGTACATCGAGATGGCGAAGTACGCCTCCAAGGGCTGGTGTAGCAGGGAACTCCCGTGGCATGTGGTGACCGTCCAGTCCGGTTTGCTGGAGGCGGACAAGCAGGAGTGTGACAGGGCGCATGAGGCGGACATGAAAGGCGCCGGACCCAGATGACTACCAGGCCGACACCGGCTCGGAGACGGTGAGGGAGGAGATGGCGAACGCTGGACGTTGGGCACAGGTTGAGTTGGACGAAGGACAGCAGCAGGACCAAATGCAGGACGAGGAAAGTTTGAAGATGCGGAGACGAGGACCGGTTGATTCGGTAGAACTGCATGGGATCGCCGACGATGGTTTCGTCATTGCCGAGGAGGATTACGCGGCCGTGGACATAGTGCTTCCATTCCAAGGTTCCCTGGACGTGAAGGAGGTGACACAGCGATGGACCCGCAGGATGTCTCTAAGCTAATTACAGGTTTCTGGAAGCCAAAACGTTCCTCAGCCGGGACGCTTGCCTGTCTGCTGACTGTGATATGCTCTATATGATCCTGGGACCCTGGGATCAGTTTCCACCTCATGGCACCAAGCAAAGCCGAGAACCTGGAATATTGCTCCGCATGCTGTTACAGGTAAGCTGTCGTGGTCTACGGTTTGAAATGATTTACCGAGATTTAGTGGAGGTGGATACTAGCGACGGTAGGCCGATGGAAGCCACTGGTTGGACCCATTTCTCCGTGTGTGTCATCCCCGTAACAAAAGGCTAATGTAAATTTTAACGTTACGCCGCCCGCCTCGGCTCCGCAAGTGCAGGGGCCGGATGAAGCGGCAAAGCCTTCTGTATCACTCAGGAACTCTGTTCAGGTCGGCTATATTGCGATCTCTTTGAGCCGTAGAGCTGCTTTGTCAGCGACACATGTCAGCGTGCGGCAAGGAGGAACGAACAGTTGTACAGGGACCAGCATGGCCGCGCGTGGCAGGGACTGGGCAGGAGCAAGAAAAAGGGGGCCTGGGGCGGGCCTGTGGCCTCGACGGATTTTTGAGTACATAAAAGGAATGCAAGGGGCATGGCGCTCTTGCTTCTAGCCATGCTGACAAAGCTATGGGCTTGAGTGCAGGGAGTCACTGACGAGTGGCTCTGTGCCTGCAGAAAAAGTAACAGACGCGCCACAGACGTTGGATCGTAGCTTGGGCATCAGCATCTACTTTCGTCTTGTGCAAACAGGTTCTCGGGCATTGCTTGAACGCGAGTGTTGGTGTGCAGTCCTGCCACGCTGCTTGTGCAGCATGTGCAGGAGTTACATGGTTCCACATGTCAGATCTGGTTGAGCTTTGTAATCAATCTATATTACACAAAAACGACAAGTAGCCGAGCCGAACGATTTCAACATCAAAGAAGAGCCACATTCCGGACGACATGACAGATCATGAGATCTGATGCAAGTGTGTGTCTGTGTGTGTCATCCCTGTAACAAAGGGCCAAGAAACAATGCAGGGGGCAGCAGGGAGTCCACAGTTCTGCTGCCAACGAAGACGGCTGTGGATACTCCGTGAAGCAGATTGGGACGCCAATTCATGTACCTGCAATAAAAGTGATGTGCAAACAAGAGTCACATTCGCGACACATGTAGACCAAGAGGTCTATTGCAAGTGTGGTGCAGCATGGCTTCCCCTCGTTGGCGCCAGCTGAGTGGAAGGTTGCTCCCACGAAACTGACTTCACATGCTTTGTCCGAAGCTCGTGACTGTACTGACTCTGGAGCAACGGGAAGGTTATGAAGATTGAACTAATTGTTGACAGTTTCGCTGGGTCTGCTCTGCTATGTTTTCTGTCCTTGGTTGAGTCCTCGCTCGTTTGTGTCAAAGTATAACAGTCTCCCGGATTCACGATTTAAGATCTGACGGCTCCAGCCCCAATGAAGTCGCCTTGTTGACTATCAGGAAATGGAGGATGATTTCTTCACGTGACTGTACATTTGACAAGGACCCCTGAAAATAAGGACCAATGAAAATTGAACCATTGACTTCACGGACAGGTCGGAATTTTGTGGCTCGTAGGAAACCCAAGTTTTCTTGCCAGGTGTAACAATTCATCTAATCATGCCTTGGCCTCAGACGGCACAACCTCCTCCATGTAGGGGAGACGAGGAAGTGCCGCGCATTTCCAGCATCACCGATCAAGTGATCGCTCAGTTTTTGTTTTGTTGTTGTTCCGGTTGATTCAGCCCCAGACCTTTGTCGAGCCTTGAGCTCTCCTCTTTGTTGTTGTTGTTTTGGTTACTTCAGCGCCAGACCTCTGTCAAGCCTTGAGCTTTCCTTTTTATTTGTCGTTGCGGTTGCTTCAACTCCAAACCTCTGTTGGGCCTTGAGTTCCCTAGTAGAGGCAGAATCTTGTGAGCTTTCCCCCCCAGAAATTTTGTGTGTGTGTGTCATCCTTGTAAGAAAGGGTTAAGTAACAATGCAGGGGCAGCAAGGAGTCCACGGTTCTGCTGCCAACGAAGACGGCTGTGGATACTCCGTGAAGCAGATTGGGACGCCAATTCGTGTACTTGCAATAAAAGTGACGTGCAAACAAGAGCCGCATTCCCGACTCACATTTAGACGGTCTACTGCAAGCGTGTGTTTGTTTGTTTGTGTTTGCGTGTGTTATGTGGGCCCCACTCGGTGTCGAAGAGGAGGAGATGCGCGTGCGTTGTTTTCAGTTGATTGTTTGTTGCAGCATTTTCCCGTTCTGTTCCCAGTGCATCGGCGTGGGCAACTACCGCCCCTGGGTGGTCTTCGTGGTGTCGCTTTGCCTTTGGACCCTTCTTAGCAGCGGCCTCGGGGGACAGAAAACATTGAGCCATGCCGCTATGCCGTTTCAAATATTTTGGAACCTCCCATACTTGGATTCCTTGCAGGTTGCTGCATCACTGCTTCGGCCCTTTTCCGCAGTCGCCACATCCGCAGGCCCGAAATGTCCTCGCGATGAGTTGGGGTACTGTGACCACTTCGGCCAAGGGCCCCATGTTTTTATTTTTTTCTGCGAGTCGGCGGCTGGCAGTGGGGCACCGTCCACTTGTCCTAGTCGGAGACCGAGCTTCCGACGCAGCCCTGCGGCGGTCCGCACCCCGCCAGCCCAAGCGCCTGCTGTGAGTCAAGGCGGCGGCTTCGCTCGCTGCGCTGACCAGCGTCTGGCTGCTCATCCTCCTAGGCTATGTTTTTGCGGCATGTGAGAAGAGCGATTCTGATGCCGTGTAAGGCGAGAGAGCGAGAGAGAGAGAGAGAGAGAGCGAAAGAGAGACAGAAGGAGAGTGGAAGAAGAGAGAGCGAGAGAGCACACCTCCTGTGTTTCCCCACCCGACGACACCGGACCCCGCCACAGCACCACCACCACCACCACCACCACCACCGCCACCACCACCACCAGTGCGGGGACCCGGCAACTTTCCTGACCGCCGGGGACCTGCACTGGCACGAGCAATTGCCCGCAAACCGTAGCACGGCAACTAAGTTCGCAGTGTAGAGCCGGCCCGGTTAGCAAACTCTAGAGTGTCCCTTGTTGCACTGCTTGTAAGCGCATCAGTTTGTGTCCGACATGCCGGGAGCCCAACGACCGGACCGAAACGAGCCCGGAACCGTGAACAACACGGACAACAACACGCTTGTCAGTAGTTTCAACCAGTTTCACACCGAACACAGACCAAGGCGTAGCACTCGCGCGCAGGGGTTGTGGGGTCCGACCCGACGCCCCAAACGCCCTGCAAGCAAGCAAGCAAGAGAACACGCCATGCAAGCAATCAAGCAAGCAAGCAATCAAGAGGGGAGGGAGAGAGAGAGAGAGAGAGCGAGAGCGAGAGTCATCCTCTGTGTGTGCTGAAGAAGACGCGAGGGAGGGAGGGAGCTCCTCTTTGCCCTGCTTGCGACCCGCAGCTCTCCACGCCTACTTGGCCCTCACGGGGCTGACGACGCTGGAATGGGCCAAGGGCCTGCCGCCAGGAGCCACAACCGAGCCAGAGCCCAGGCAGACTGCAGAAAGCATGCTGTGACACTGCTTGAGGGCTGGCTTCCCACCGTTTTTGCAGGTGCCGCCTGGTGCCAATGGCGGGAGAACCCCTGAGACCCCGAAGCCCGCCACTTACTCGTGCCTGCCCTATGCACGGCCCATGCCCACGCGTGTTCCGCCGAGGTGCTTCAGCTGCATCCGCCTTGCCTTGGCCTGAGTTTAGCTGCGGAGGCAGCCAGACAGCGTCAGTTACATCCTGGATGAAAGGTCGCACAAGGAGGAGCCCGAGGAGGAGGCGAGGAAACGACGGAAAGCGTCATCTTCCGTCACCATGTGACCATGTGCACACTCTCAAGCGGCAGAAGCTGCGGAAGGGCGGCTCCGATTGTTGCGGTCTGAGGTCTCTCCGGCTTCCGCGGCCGCTCGCTGGGCTTTGCCGGGAGCCCGAGAGGGACTCGACAATGCACAGAGTTTCCCATGCTGCATACGGCGCTGCTCTCTTATTCTCTTGTGCTTCTCTGCCAGACTGCGCGATGCAGTGCGCCGAGATGAGCGGAGGCTTCGGACTTAGACTTTTAATAAAAGCACACAATTTGACAATTGTGCGCGTGACCCGCCCACGTTGTTGATACAAACGCTTCCACAGGCGTTGTAGCCTCTGGGCTCTATGCAGCTGTCCGTCTCCACTGCTCTTCTGCTACAAACGCTTTGCACGGCCTTGTGTTGAGGCCTAACTGGCAGATGCTCTGGAACAGGCAGCGCTGTGGGAGCGAGAGCAAAGAGCTGTCACCTTGTACACTCTTCACAGGCACCTGTCGCTGTCTTCGGTGGCCACTTTGGAAGACAGCTCCAGCGAAGAGGATGCCATCGCCGTTCAGGACAGCGATCGCTTGAAGAACACAGAGATTGCAGCAGCCAGTGAAAGTGTGAGGCCTTTTCCCCAATTACTGGTACCTCAGCAACCTCGGCAACCAGCCCGGCGAAAAGCAGGCGCGTCCGCGTCGCTCCGCGCGCTTGCGATGAAGTGAAACTGTCGTCCTTCGGAAACGACCACGCGAGGGGATAGCGAGGTAGGATATCTCCCTCACGCTTCGAAGCCTATCTTATGTAAGTAGCGGGCTTCGGGGAAGAGGTAGGGAATGTTCTGGGCTACGGCTTTTTTGCTTTACAGCGAGCGGCTGTGCCCGTGCTCCCGTAATCTCCCGTAGTCCCGTAGCTTGAGTCTATGTCGGGGCCGCGACCAATCAGATGCTGGAGATGATCAGAGTCCATATAAGCGTGGTATCCCAAGTAGCAACGTTAGTCTGGCCCCATGCCGTTGTTCAACTGTCTCGCACCATGCCAGATTTCACTCAGCCACAGCATGCCTGAGTTTAGGATGTGCTAGATGTCTTTTCAAACCATCGGACACTTTGGAGTGTGTCACCCGTTCTGCAGGGTTTCGCACGGGTCCACGGATGGGCAAGTTTGGGTGCTCGCCTGCGCGTGAAAGCCGGAGGAGAGGATCGCGAGAGCACGCGAGCTGCAAAAGAAGGAATGAGCGGAATGCATTGGATGGTGCATTGGCAAGGGGGGGCAAGAAAAGATTTTTACTGCGGCCGGGCTGGCCTTGCAGTGCTTGAGCCGCTTGAGCCGCTAGCGGAGCCCTGCTGCAGGCCGGGCTTCGATTCGAGAAACGGAGAGCGACGTACGTGAGTCCGCCCCCTCCGTCTCCGCGGCCTTTCCGGGGAGGCTCCAGTGCCATAAAGGGCAGAGATCTGGAGCCCCGAGAGCCGAAGCTACGAATCCTCGAAACGTTGCGAAGGCCATGTTAAAAAGGGTTCGAGAAAGGCAGCCGCAGGGTGCAGAGAGACATGACAGCGTCGCCTACAAAAGCCACAGTAGATCTGCGGCGCTTTCGGCTTATCAGAAGGCATCGGAGTCAGGCTGCGCCCCAAGAAGTGGCGCCTTGCAGCCGCTCTCAGCGCGCGCCGCCCCGCGCCGCGCTTCACCAAGCAGCCACATGCTTTCCACGTTCTCAAGGCCGGGCCCGGCCGCAGTTTCTCTCTCTCTCTCTCTCTCTCTCTCTCTCTCTCTCTCTCTGCTGCGGTTGTGCAGGCTGGCTCTTAGGGGGCCCGCCGGCCGCGGGGCCGGGGCCCGCGCGGTGCTGCCCGCCGTGGGCAGCGGGCTGCGCAGCGCGATGGAGCCGCCTTCCAACGCCCTCCTGGGCCAGCAAGCCAGGGGCGCCGCCACACTGAAGACACTCTCGATCCGGATGAGGGCAATCAAGAACATGCAGAAGATCACCAAGGACTGAATCTGAACGGCCAATGCTTTATATTATAGCTGCTGTATAGCTTACAGCTGACGCACACCCCCCACCCCCCCAGCACGACCCAGGCCATGAAGATGGTGGCAACGGCCAAGTTCAAGAAGGACATGAGGACTCGGACTGCCCCGTCCATCAGAGACCCGAATGACCGAATGGAATGGGAGGGGGGGAGGTGAGGAGGTGTTGGAAATTGCTGGCTCGTTTAGCTGCTCCGCTGCGCCGCCGTCAGGACGATGGAAAACAGCCTGCCCTTCGCCAACCCTGTCCTGAATCTGTTTCAGCGCTTGCCAGCAGAGGAGAAGGACCTCCGGACAGGGACACCGGGACACCGCCACTAGTGCCAGCTAGAGCCGCTGGCAGGCCGGGCAGATTACCTACGTGGCCGTTACCTCCGACAAGGGCCTTTGCGGAGGCGTGAACACTGCAGCACCTTGGCCCAAACGAAGGCTGCAAAGACTTCGCCGGGCGCCTCCGCTCCTGCTCCTCTGCTCAGGTCGCCAAGCAGGTGCGCTTGGGCGTGACAGCCGAAGAGGCGAAGGGCAACGTCTCCAAGATCATGGTGGTGGGCGGCAAGGCGTATACGGCCTCCTGATGTCGTGCGCCTCTCCCTCCCTATATTTCCATCTATATCTCCTTACGATCGCAGGGCGTCGCAGTGCTGAAACGCCTCTACGGCGATCGATTTAGCACCACCTTCGAGGCTCATGCACTCTCGCCGCTTGCCCGGAACACACGTAGCTCCTTCCCGCTCTTGTGAGGAATGCTCGAAAGTGCCCTTTACCTTTGCGGCCGCAAGTGTCATCGCCGAACGCATTGCTGCCAGCAAGCCGGCACGCTGCAAGGCCAGGCGAAGCCGGCCCAGCGCGAGTCACGGAGTCACGGAGGGAGCGGTAGCTGCGGGAGGTGGTGAGCAATGAGTTCAAGTCCATGGTCTCCTACGACACGATCGCCAAGCACACCTACACCGTCGACGAGGAAGGGGCTTCCTTTAAGGCTTGAGCGGCGGTAAAGCTTAAAGCCTGTGCTGCCCTGTGTCGGAGGCCACTGGAATGGACCGAGGGGAGTGGACCAAGGCAATGGACGTCTACTCCTTTGAGCCTTCCATCTACGAAGTCTGGCAGGATGCGGAGGGGCATTGTTTCTGAACAGTGGGCTGTTTCTGCTTTTGAACAGTCTTGGACCCTGACTCCCAGCTCGCAGGCCCACCTTCGGCACTAAGCCACTAGGCGCCCTCACTTGCCCCGTTGCCGCCGCGTGAGGACCTTCACGAGTTTTACTATGGCTGTGTCATCTACGGCTCCGTGATTCAGAGCAGCGCACTTAGAATTCGCCAGCCGAATGCAAGTCTGCAATGGGCGGTTGCGGCTTCTACGAGGCACCACCACAGAGACGGCCCAGCGCATGAATGCCATGGAGAACGCCTCAAAGAATGCCGGGGAGATGTACGGCAAGGTGGAGCTCCAGTACAACCGGGCCCGCCAGGCCAAGATCACCACCGAGCTCTGCGAGATCATCTCAGGTGCCTCCGCAGTCTAAGACTAAGAACGACGCAACGCAACATCCAACATCCGCCATCCGCTCCAGAAGACCCAGGAAGGAGCAGGAGCAGCCGTTTTTGGTGACGACCCCATCTCTTGAGCGAAGCAGAAAAGGCCGCATGCGCTCGAGCCGCTCGCGTGTCGCGTGCTAAAGAACTTCCCATATGCGGGTTGGAGTCTAGCGTTCAGAAGCGCTCTCGACCGGATCGTTGAAGTGAAGCCTCACTGCAGTCTCTAGAGTCTAGAGGTCTTGTCAATGCAGTGTCAATCCAGCGAGTGTCACAAAGAGGTAAGCCGAGTAGTTAACACAGTTTCTTCTGCGAGCGGCGCCGGTTGATGGCGCCTTCCTTGAGGTGGCCTTGACCCAATATGCTTTGATTTGATCTTTGATGAGCGTGAAGTGTCTCAGTTGAAAGTCCGGTCCCCGGCTTTTGGGCGGCTATGCTGTTTCTGGGCCTGGCCTTGGGCCTTTTGGGACTTCTGGGCCTCCTGCAACAGCTGCCGGGAGCCGAGGAGTGGGCTTGAAAAAGGGGGGTGCAGGCCGGTGGGGCACAAAAAACTGCTCCGAGGTGCCTGCTGATCGCCAGCCTCCCGCACGGGTCCCATGCCCTGCCGTGCCCTGCCGTGCTCATACCATGCGAAGGTTTGAGCTCTTCTGCAGTGCGGCACTTCTGGCTGCAGGCGGATTCAGCCTAGGAAGAGCCCTCGATAGTCAGCACTTGCCAGGCCTGGTCTTGATACTGGCAGACCAGCTTCAAAGTCTGCTGCAGACCCAGAGCCCACAGAGCCCACAGAGCCCACAGAGCCCAGAGAACAGGGGCTGTGCCACTGTGCTGCAGTGCTGAGCTCATTTGAGCTCTTCTCTTTCAGGCTGTTGAGGCGGCGGCTGCACTTGGTGCCCGGGCAAGTGCTGGGCGAGATCACGCAGCGCTACCTGCAAGCCGCCCCGCGCCTGCTGGGCCTCCTCGCGCTGAGCGGGGCCAAGAAGGAGGGATCCGAGGCGACGGCGGAGGCTACGCCTGGTCCCTTGGAGGTCCGCCGCTCTGCCGTCTGAGCACTTGGAGCGAGCGCTGTCGAGCCGAGGTGCGGCAACTTTTGGTGGGACTCTCACCAGAACTGGCGGCCCTGCTTACCGCAGAGGACCCTCTTTAGCAGCACTTCTTCACGGCACTCAAGCGGCTGTTCGTAATCCTCGCCCACGAAGTTCAACAAGTACTCTCGGTGTTCGTCGTTGTTTCAGCTGCCCTCGGCGCGGAATATACAATGGGAAAGTAGTTCACATGTGTTTTTGTTTGTGTTGACCTAGGCCTTTCTTTGTTATGATGATTCTGGTATTTTCTCTGTTTGTCTGTACCCGTTAATAGCACGACTGTTAGTATAGTGAGATGGGGGTCCATTACGCTCGAAGGTTTCGGAAGCAAGTTTTCCTGCGGTAGACGCGGTTTGGATACGATTGGCAGATACGACTTGACTTGAATACAGCTTGGACGACGTGATGAATAAGGGATACGGTTTAGATACAAATTAGACACGACTGTAAGCTTGGTTGTTCTTGCCTTGTCAGGCGGCTCATGGCCGAGATGCTGGTATTTCTAAAGTAGATGCTGGTAAGCAGGTTAGAACCTTTCGATAGCCATAGGAATCTGCTCAACAACAGCTACTTTACTACTACTACTACTACTACTACTACTACTACTACTACTACTACTACTACTACTACTACTACTACTACTACTACTACTACTACTACTACTACTACTACTACTATACTACTACTATACTACTACTACTACTACTACTACTACTACGACTACTACGACTACTACTACGACTACTACTACTACTACTACTACTACTACTACTACTACTACTACTACTACTACTACTACTACTACTACTACTACTACTACTACTACTACTACTACTACTACTTTCTTGATAGACGACATGGGGCTGTATAATAACCCCGTGCTGTTAAGTTTAGTCTTGACATGTCCGTGTTAGGTTTTGATGGTTTTCCGTGGAAAAACTAGAAGAAGATCATAAAACGATAACAAATCATAACGAAACGGTAACGAATTTTTCGTTGTAAAACGATTAGAAGAAAATAATTCGATAACAACACTCAGGGATAAGGATTTTTATTATTACACTGGGTTATTATACAACCCCACATGTCGTTACAAACATGGCCAGATGCTGCAGAAGCAGTGGTGAGCTTGCAAAGAACCCAAGGCGAAATTCCTAAGCAGTGAATACCAGACAAAAACTTAAGAAGCGAATACACAACGCGAAAACCGTAAGGAGTGAATCCAGCAGGAATTTTTCCCGAAGACGAAAATCCTAAGGAGTGAATCCAGCAGGAATCTGTTACCCAAGACGAAAACCTTCAGGATTGAATGATCTTGTGCCCTCGTGAATAAAGGAGCGTTTCGCGGCCGTTGGGCGAAAAGGCCAAATCGTAGCAGCATATCTACATGAATGCTCCTGAACTGTGTTGATCCTGCCCTCGTTGGGCTATATATGGTCAGGCCCATGGTATGGTCGGATAGGGTGGGGGGGGGGGGGGGCCCACATGCGCGCACCGGGGGTTTCACACACAGCAGGGCGCAGAAATATGCAACACCCCATTTAGACGCTGTTTTCAAGTGTGGTTCCTTGAAAACAACGTCTACATGGGGTGATGCATAGTACTGTAAAGGTTTTTGCAGGAGGGGAGCGAATTGTGTCGCAATTGTTTGCCAAGTCATTCTTAGCGGAAGGGTAGTTTGCCAGCCCATGGATGGACTGGGGACAGCTGCGATCGGTTGCGTTTGAAATAGTGCGAGTGGGGATCGCTCTTGTGGGAGACCGACGGCGTGAGACTTTACCTGACCATTCCGAACAGGTGAACCACTTGCTGGCCATTACAGATAAGTGCAGGAACGATCGAGAAGATTTGATTCGCCAGGCCGGAGCAACTAAGGGAGTGCAGACGGCCCTGGACTTCTGTCACTCGCAGACGGGATTCGCGATTTGGGGTCCTCTCTGTATTCTGTGCTTGTTGATCGGTTTCGTTGCAGGTGTGATCTGTGCTTTTCTGTTGTGGATTCGGCTGCGGAGATCCGAGTATCTCACGGTTTACGCGCCAGCATCTACGCAGGAACCTGTAAGGTCTTTCGCGCAGATCCCAGAAGACCATGGAGCAGTTGAACCAACCGAAGCAGTGGCTGCCGCAAGATTGCGCGCTCGTGCGCTTCGCGGATGATCCCACGCTTCTTCATGGGCGAGTTGTTCTCCGATGTTATGGGGGCAACCTATGCCGGGTGATCACGCCGGATCGCGATGTCCAGGAATCCACTCTCGAGGTTGGAAGCGTGTACACAGAGGTGATCCGAATGAAAGGCGCGCGATTGCCAAGAGGGATCAAAGAAGACGATACTTACCTGCCCAAACACAGCGGGGACGGGGATTTCAGGCATGAGGAGCTTCTTCATTTCGTGCGAGTAGCTGACAGGGTGCCGTCCTCGGTGGAGGGACGAAAGCGAGTTACCGGAAAAGTTGATGGTGACGGAGCCATTGGTGGAATTCACGGTGACCCGGCAGAAAAACCCAGGCCGAAAAAACCAGATGTACGAGATAAGGGCGATGATTGCTGGATCAAGGTCTACAGCTCACTCGGTACAGGCATTGGTGATCGGACTTTCCCACCAGTCGAGTCTGATTTGCTTGTCTGTGGCGGCGGATTGTTCAAGTTGTACCGCGAGGCCGGGACCGATGAGGACATCCTCGCCAAACAGGTGCAACACGAAGACCTGGGAGTGTCCATGGATGTGGCTCGCATGGGGGCCGGGGTCGAGGCAAAGAGTGAGAAAGATGTTCGGGTGCTATCCGTGCTGTTCGACAGTGCAGATGAACGAAGGAGAACGATACATGAAGCAGTGCCGGAGCTGGAGGAGGTCGAGTATGAAGATTTTCCTCTTCAAGGACCTCGCACTCTCTTTCGCGATGTGCGACAATTACGTCGACTTGGCCTTGACTTCTGCCAACACCATGAAAGTTGGTTGAAAAAGAGTGGCGTTCGCGCGGGAGACAGGAGTGTCCATGAACACGCTTCCATATGCCGTGCTTTGAACTGGATGCTGTGCTACGACCAGCTTAACATATGCGGGTTAGCCAGTGCGGAGGCCTTGAATCGCAGGCGCACGCTTATCGAATTCGCCCACCAAGGCAGGCCAGAGACACCCTCATATGAAGGTGCGGAAGACATCTTGGGGGTGAGAGAGTCTGCAGACGGCTCTTTGATCGACCCGGCCATCACTCAACATGCAGCACGCCGGGCTGCATCGAAGGCGGAGGTCTTGAAGCAGCAGAGGTTGGCCGCTGAGGAGCGGCGTCACCGAATCCCACCTGATGATGGAGCTCGGCCTGGAAAGCCAAAAGGAACGGGTAAGGGCGACCCCAACGCCCAGAAAACTCCCTAAGCCCGCTGAGGTGGCTGACACTTGGGGCACCGGTGTTGGCCGCGAAAGTTTTACAGGTGCCAAGCAGTTTTCCACTCAACCATTCCAGCGGCATGGGGACCTTCTGCCTTTGCCTATGCCTGTTGATGATGGTTTCTCCGGCAGTTTGGGCTCTTTGAGGTCGCGACGGTCGACACAGAGGGTCGCTAGGCGGAGGCTTTTGATGGAGAGGGCGCGTTGCACAGTGAGGTGTCTCAACGAGCTTGCGCAGAAGTTTTGAACCGGGTCTACAAGGCCCATCTCCTTCGCCCACCTCCCGTGGACAAGGAGAGCCCTCAGGCAGCGCTTCGGCAGCTGCTGAAGAAGAAGGCCGGGTATAGTGAAGGCCCAGGACAACTTGCGAGTTTTGTTCGGAGCCGCCTTTCCTTGCCGCGAGACCAGCAGGTGCCAACTCAGCTTGAGCATTTGTTGCCACAGGCGGAGGCGGATCGGCTCCGAAATTTCCGTGAAGAGATGATGCTGAGTGAGGAGGAGATAGCGGGCGTGATCGAGAAGGGGCTGGAGAACAAGTATTATATCGACCCAGTACTTTCACGTGACCCTCGCGCTTATCATGAGCTAGTTGCCGATTTGGTCAGTAGCAAGCTGTTGTCTTTCACAGGTAGACCAAAGTCTCAGGTGGGAGTATTTGCAGTCACCAAGAAAAATGACAAACAGCGATTGATTGTCGATGCTCGAAGGACGAATGCCATCTTCAGGACGCCGCCTACCACTCTGCTGGGATCGGTGGAAAGTTGGGGGCGACTGGAGGTGGGGAGCGACGAGGATGTTTTCGTTGCACAAGAGGATGTCCGTGATTTCTTTTACCGATTGGGGATTAGCAAGGATTTGGGGGAGTATTTTTCACTGCCTGCTGTCGACCCTGAACGTCTACAAAAAGTTCTCGGATATTTGCCGGTTGAGCTCGAGCAGTTGATGCAGTCGCATGCGGGCCCTTACTACCCCCACCTGTCCGTGCTTCCTATGGGCTTCTCGTGGGCTTTCCATTTAGCGCATCGGGCACATGAGCACCTGGCTTCGCAGGCAATACCCCGAGCTGGACGGCTGGTCGACAGAAGGCCCGCCCCAGTGCTCAGCAGTTCGAGTGAGGGTTGCTGCAGCGCCACGCTTATTTATGCCGACTGCGAATCACTTGGGAATCAGCGCTGCCGTAGTGGAACATGACCAGAAAGCGTTGCTCCACTCACTGCACTCGAACGGTCTCGATACCCATGAGCATGTGTGCGCAGTCACGCTTGCGGAGAGCCTCGGGGTTCGCATTGACGGGCTCGCGGGGCAGGTGCGAGCCACTCCGCACAGGGACTGGCGTCTGGACCGTGCGATTGCTGCGCTGTCAACCAGGCCGGCTATAACAGAAGCAGAACTGCAAGTCGTGATTGGGCATGTTACAGTTCGTTGTCTTCTGCACCGAGGGTTGCTAGGAGTTCTACGTCATTGTTATGCCTTTATTGAACGACACTACGAGCGCCGGGTGAGGTTATGGAAGAGTGTTGCCGAGGAGCTCGACATGTTCAGGCACCTCTCCGTCTTGGGGGTCAGTAACTTCAAGTCACCGTGGAGTCAGGAAGTTCTGTGCACTGATGCATCCCTCTCCGGTTATGCTGTCATGAGTCGGACTGCAGATCCTGGTGTGGTCGGGGAGTTGGGTCGTTATGATGAGCGCTGGAGGTTCCGACTGGGAGAGGCAAGACACGTGGCGCCTCGAGCCAGTGCGTTGGCCTTAGATCCCTTCTCAGATCCCTCCAGTGTGAAGCCGGAAGTGGAGGGGGAGATCTTCGGCAGAGTGTCGATCGATGACAGTTTTCCTCAGATAAAGCAGGGTTTTATGGAGCCCGAAAACTGGCACAGACTTTGGCACTCACCAATCAAGCATAAAGAACCTATTCACCTCATCGAAGCACGTAGCATCTTGGCTGCCGTCAAACATGTTGCTCGAGATCCTCGCAAACATGGACACCGGGTGGTGGTTCTGAACGACAATTTAGGTGTTGTCTTATCTCTGTCAAAAGGAAGGTGTACTTCATACAGCTTGCTCCGGATCGTTCGCAGGATCAACGCTCATCTTCTCGCATGCGGTGTGAAGTTATGCATGAGGTGGGTGGTGTCTGAAATGAACGTCGCGGACAAAGACAGCAGAGAGTGGGAACCCAGTAGAGCTTTAGATGGCCATGGCGACGCCTTCAAAAGGACGAAAGAGAGCCGTTCAGGTGTTCTCAAAATCGGAGGTCAATCGAGCCAACCAGAGAGTCGCTGCGAAGGGTCGGGACACCGAACCAATCACCGCATGTCGGAGGAGAGGTCGGGCGGAAGCAGAGCCCTTGAGGAGTCCATCAAAGCATCCAGCATCGAGGTCCCTGAAGACGCTGCTGAAGGGGCACCAGGCGAAGAGAAAGAGGGCTGCGGACCGACAAAAGAAGTTCGCAATGAAGCTGCGCGCGACGCAGGGAGAGAGGAGCATACTGGAGCTCAGCAGTGTCAAGGAACCTCAGAGGCGCGATTATGCGAAGAAGCTGGACGGGTTCTACGGCTTCGTGGAGCAGTACCAGCTGCGGATCGCAGACACCAGTGCCCTAGACGCAGCGCTGTGCGACTGGGCAGACATCCTCTACCTGAACGGGGAAGGGAGCAATTATGGAGACAAGTTGCTCGCATCTCTGGAGTTCGAGAGGCCGGAGTTTGCACGCGAGGGCAAGGTCAACCTACCTCGCTTTCGCCGGGCTCTGAAAGGGTGGCGCCGCATGGCGCCCACTCAGACCCGGCTCCCGATGATAGAATTCATCAAAGGAGCGATATCCGGGGTTCTGTTGAAGAGAAACTTGAGGAGCATGGCACTCTTCAACGAGGTCACTTACTCGACCTACTCCAGGCCAGGAGAGTTGCTCCGGGTTTGTGCCGAGGATTTCGTGAAGCCGAACCAGGACCAGAATCATGCAGTGATCGTGCTCAGTCCGCTGGAGCGTGGAGAGAGTTCGAAACCAGGGCAGTACGACGAGGTCCTGATTCTCGACGACAAGCGTGCCCCGTGGTTGCCATTCCTCATGGAGCATCAAGCAAATCATCAGATGCGTGCCAAGGGGCCGGACGCTTTGATGTGGGACTTCACCGCAGCCGCGTACCTCAAACACTGGCGCGAGGCTGTGGAGACTTTGGGAGTGGAAGCCATAGCCACCTCGCCGTACCAGAATCGTCATGGAGGAGCGAGCAGGGATCACCTACTCCATCTCAGATCCATGTCCGAAATCCGCCGACGAGGCAGGTGGGCGAGCGACAGCAGTTTGAGGATCTACGACAAGCCGGGTCGTCTTCAGCAAGCTATCAACCAGTGGGATGTCAAACTCCGAGCCTTTGGGGAGGACGTCCGTCGGAACTTTCGCGATTACTTCCTGAATGGCGGGGTACAGATACCGCATGGCATCAAGATATGAATTTTCTCAGCCTTTTCGGTGGAGTCGCAAAAGCAGCTGACTGGATGGTAGAAAGAGGTGGAAAGGCTATGATAATTGATCTTGCAACCAGTCCTTTGAACGATCTATCTGCGCCATCCAAGTGGAGAGTTTTGCAAAAAGTTGTGCATCATTTCCACATGGTGGGCATTGACTTGCTTTGCAATACTTAGAGCAGAGCTAGAAGGGCGCCACCCAACTCTCGCATGCCCCAGCCTCTCCGAGGTGATGGCGATGAAGCGATCCTTGGGCTGCCGGGACTCAGTGAGCAGAATCAGGTGAAGGTAAGGAATGCCAATAGTTGCCTGTTCGGTGCGATTAAGTTGATTCGCAGATCCTTAAAACTGGGCATTCCTGGCTACCTGGAAAACCCTGCCAGCTCACGATTATGGCAAACGCCGCATGTTCGGCGACTTCTTCGGCATCCTCAAGTCTTCATCGTTCAGTGTGACATGTGCATGTACGGCACGCAGTGGCGAAAGCCGACGAAGATCTTAGTATGGGGAGTGCCGAGGTTCGCGATGCAGGTTTGCAAAAGTCATGGCAAATGTTCCAGGACGCATAAGCCTCACCTGCAGCTCACAGGGATCTCTGGAAAGCGCTTCGTCACTGAGCAGGCTCAGGTTTACTCAGCTGGTTACGTGCATGCACTGCTGTCCAATTTCTTTCCTTCTGCAGCTAGCGTTTCTCGCTGACTGACTTCGCCCTCCCTGCCCTCCCACGTTCCATTCTGTAGATGGGGTGTGGGGTTGTGGTGTTTTCCTCGAGCCGCGATCTTCGAACTCGGACCGTGCAACGCACGGCACGAGTGAAGGGCCATGAATCCACGGCTCGCGAGAAGTTTCCTTTCACACAGATCGCTGCAGCGTCTGCACACGAAAATGTCTAGCAGCGGACCGCATGCATAGTACTGTAAAGGTTTTTGCAGGAGGGGAGCGAATTCTGTCGCAATTGTTTGCTCAGTCATTCTTAGCGGCCCGCCCAGCCCACCCGGGGTTGTGGTGTTTTCCTCGAGCCGCGATCTTCGAACTCGGACCGTGCAACGCACGGCACGAGTGAAGGGCCATGAATCCACGGCTCGCGAGAAGTTTCCTTTCACACAGATCGTTGCAGCGTCTGCACACGAAAATGTCTAGCAGCGGACCGCATGCATATTTCTGCACCCTGATGTGTGTTAAACCCCCCGGTGCGCGCATGTGGCCCCCGGCCCTACCAGAATCCTGGTTAACCCTGCAGTTTAGGCCTCCAAAAGAGCCGAGGGCCTTTGAAAGGGCTTACCAGGGTTCTGGTAGGGCCGGGGGCCACATGCGCGCACCGGGGGGTTTTCAAGGAACCACACATCAGTGCCGGAATTGCACATCACACCAACCTTAATCCCGAACGCTGGATTTTGCTGGTCGTTGCCAACTTAACGAAACCTAACGAAACCTCGCGGACGCCAGTGATCTCGGCACGGACTGCTGCCATTTTGATGCGCGTTTTAGTAGCGAATCACGAAGGTGACGCTGGTTTCTGTTGTTGCACTACTGCAGCTGCATCTATCACACATCTTACAACAACGTCACCAAACATACACCACAAGCTCGTCAAACGCCACTTAGACGCAGTGAAATGGTAGAAAACCTATTCGATTCTGTATTTCCCTGGAAAACCGGGGCCAAGCACCAAAACGCGGCCCTTAGGAAGCGGAACGGCTTTTTGGAGGCAAAACCTCAGGCATTAGCTGCCAAAACAAGAAGCCTCTGCAGTTTAGGCCTCCAAAAGAGCCGAGAGCCTTTGAAAGGGTTTACCAGGGTTCTGGTAGGGCCATCAACGGCTGATGTTTGGATGTATGCCAAGCCGGGCTCCGAAATGCTTAGCCGCAAAGTGGTCGCCGAAAGATGTGTATTTCCGCAACGCGATGCGAGTTAAACCCTCCCTTCGTACCGCGTTTTAATCTTGTTTCCATTTCCCGCGCAAGCCAGACTTGCCGCCGCACCCCACATGTTTCCCACATAAGCAGCCAGACGCCTGTACCGTGTTTCTATTTTTTCTATTTATAAATCCTCAAGCCGCCAGAAGCACATGGGGCAGGACACGGGGCAGGAAACGGTATGAAAGTACGAAGCCCTCAACCCCTAACCCTGACTTGAATACCAGACATCAGCAGACGTGTAAACCGTAAAGTAAACCCTTATCGGGGCTATACTACTTGACCCCAAATTGTTAGACCCTCACCAGACCCAAAACCCTTCACTGCACCGGTTCTTCTTGGGGCCTCACGATTGGTTCTGTACTGTTGGGTAAGTTGTCGGGGGTCGGAGGTTCTAGGATGTTCTAGGCTTCGCCTGAGATTCCTGGACTCGTCTTATGCCTCAAATCGCCTCTGAACCCTAATTATCAAGTTTCCAGATTCCTATATCCTTCGAATTTAAACTATGAGAAAACACAACGCCCAAAGCCCCAACAGATAGGCCTTTTGGCTAGGATCGCTTCAAGCTCGCCTTACGGATGCCTGCAGCCTTGGCTTTGGCCTTTGTTTTGGCCTTTGCCTTGGCTTTTGCCTTTGCTTTGGCCTTGGCTTTTGGACCAGGCTTGATGGGAAGCGATGTTCCCGGCTCTTTCAGAGCGAGTAGATCAAAGTGCACATTCCCACGCAGCAGTGCAATTGGACGGCCTCCAGCAGCCCCGTCGTTGTTCTCAGTCCACACAAGCTCCAAGCCGTCGCGCCAAGAGTAGACTTCGACAGGGATGCCAGACATCCGCACAAACGCCGCCAGATTGCAGAAGGTGCCGTACGTGCGTGGCTTCATGGCGTACGCAAAGTATGTGCCCCAGTTGAACCCTCCTTGGTGTTCTTGGGTCCACAGTGGATCGTCCATCATCTCCTTGGGTGCTCTGTCATTTCGCCGGACCCCCCAAAACCACATAATTTTCCCGAAATGCTAAACCCCAAACCGTTGTCCGACATGGCATCCGAAGAGGCAAGCTCTAAATCACGCAGAGGCTCCACACATACGGCCTCTGTCACCTGGCGCAGCCGTCCGGGCGTCAGGGAGTCCAGGTACTTGTGCATGCAGCAGCAGACCTGGCTACGCAGGCTCTGCGCGCCAGCGTCGTCGTCCTGTCCAAAGGCCATTTTAGGTGCCTTATAGTTAACTTCGCTCTCTGAGACACGGGGTCTGTCCTGCAAAGCCTCGGCTGCGATGCCACCACGCAGCTGCATGCCCATGTGCAAGGCCCTGTAAAGGCAGGCGCCATCCGCCATGACCTTGATGCGAATCCAAGGGTCGAAGTCGGGTGCCCGTCGACGCTTTGCGGAATCAGGCGTGCGCAGACGAGGTGGTGTAGGCACTGTGTCATCCGCCTCCAGCTGGATTGGCATGAGCTTGAGACTGGCTTCGTGTCTGACACACTCGTGACCTGAGAGGGCAACAGGCAGCGATGTGCCTCAAATAATTACAAATAAGGGCCTTAGTAATTAGAATAGGGCTTTGGGCTTCTTTATAGTATGGTTGTAATAGGGAACCCTAAGGAATAGTATAGGTATGTGAATCGCGCTAGCTGGTCTTACGCTGCAGGGGCAAGCACAGCACCCCAACTGTTGTTGCTTCGCGTGACCGACCGCAGGCGTGCAGCTTGCAGAGCTACACTACCTGAAGTACAGCCGTGCACACTTGGCGCGCCTAGTAGCTAGAACAAGGCACGTGAGCCAAAACGTTTCGTTTTTAACAAAACATACAAATTACAACAGCAGGCAAAACTGAACTTGAGCTGGCAGAGGCAGGTGCACATGACGCACTGACATGTATGTGCACTCACAGGTAGGCTTCTTTAGTAAATACAGGAGACGTCGTAGTGAGAAGAAGCGAAAAACATGATGGCGAAATCCAAGCACCGGTCTTGTTGTCTTTGAGGCTCACGAAACCCTGCGAGACTGAGAGGACTGTGAACTCTCGCACTTCACCGCCCAGGGTCTCGAACTTGCCACGCCCGGTCTTCGTCGTGTATTGGCTGTTGCGTGCGATGACACGGTCGCCCGACACCAGCGGCATAGTGCTGCGATGCGTCCTTTTCCTGGCATAGCGCAGGTGCCGCTTCATGGCCTCACGCATCTTCTTGTTGTTGAGGGCGCCGGCAATTGGGGCCACGGCCTTGTGGAGCGCCTCAGCTGCCTGCTGCACGTACTCTGGCGTGAGACCAGCCTGGCTCTCATCGAGGAAACGTAGCCAGTCGGCCTCGGAAATGGGTTTGGCCTCCCCATGGATGATGCCGCGAAGCTGTAGATTCTTCCAGCGACTTTCGGTGGGTCGCAGTGAGCGCCACAAGCTTTCTGGGCTGACGCCATACCGCTGATGGATGCGGGAGTTTACAGCCACCGTCGCCGCGAGGAGGCGGCTCCTCTGTCCGGCGTGCGCCAGGTCTAGCAGCCGGTTGTGGCATTCCACCAGCCCGATTGCCTGGGGGCGTCCCGGCGGGATCGTTCGGGGACGGACGCCCAGTGTGGCCTCGATGGCAGTCGTGAGCAGGTTGCGGAACTGGCCACCATCGTCAGTCCAGCATATAGCTGGGAGTTCGTTGTCCGCATAGAACTTGAGCATCAGCTCCTGGACCTTGACAGCCGTGGCTTCACCGAAATCCAGAGCCCACGTCCAAGTCTTCCCGCTGGTGAAATCGAGCGCGAGAAGCATAGACCACTTCGGCTCATCATGCGGGGTCACTGTTTTTAGGTCCCAGCCGATGACATCACCTGCGTGTAAGGGCGTCGGCAAGTGTCGGACGTCTGCCTTTCCCATCTCACGCGTGCTGTTGGAGCGGCAGAGCTCACAGCGTCGAACTATCCAATCTGCATCGAGGGCAATGTTGTTCCAAGTTTTTCCTGTCTGATGTAAAAAGCCCTATACACCCTGTCGAATCGAAAAGTTTTTACGAGAGCAAAGAAGCAGATTCTAGCTGCAACTTGGGACCCACTTCTTTCATGGCTCGGATGACCGCGTGACGTCCGCCGGTGTGGCTACAATCTTCATGTGCAGCCTGCAGCAACGCAACCTGGACAGGCATGGGCCCCGGGTAGCATCCGAGGATTTTTAGGCTCAAGGGTTTAGGCTTGAGGGCTTAGGGTCAGGAATATAGAGCCAAGCACAGTCAAGCCGCTTTTTCCTTGGCGGGTATGCCCCCATGATCAGGGCCAAGCATACGAAGGTGGAAGTTCTTGCGCCCCTGCTGAGCAAGGACAGCTCTGTAAGATTGCAGGTTCTCACTGGGCAGGGCCTCGAGCGGCCCCTGCAAGATCCACTTGGCAACCTCGCCTCTATCAGGCGCAGCCTCGCCTTGGTCAGGCACATCGCCTTCGTCCGGATCCGCAGCGGCTAAGCTTTGCACCGATCTTTGCACCAGCTGATCGTGGGTCTCCTTGAGGCGTTTCTGTGAGCAGGCTGAGCACTGGCTCCCATTGGCTTTACTTCGCTGCCATTGGGAAGTGCTGAAATCAGCCTTGGGTTTCACCACGCCACAAGTAGCACAAGTCTTGGTCAGCTTGCACTGCTCCAGGGCAGCTGTTTTTGGCACTTGGACTTCACGCCCGCGGCCCACTGCGTTTTGGTAAAGCCAGCCCGAGGAGTGTCCACATTGCAGCCAGCGCAGACTTTACTGTTCTTGGCACGCTTCTGCAGATTGGCATCCACTGGCTTGCACTCCAGACAACGGGAGACGGAGTCTTTTTTGGCCCATTCCGTCCTGGAAAACAAGGCCTGATCCTTCCGCTGCTCGCACTCCGAGCAGATCCTGCTAGATACCCGCTCTGCAAGCTGAGGCAAGCGACGGCCAATCTCCTATCGTGCCGGGAGGGACTCAGCATGATACGATGGGCTTGTAGTATAGTACAGTATCGTGTCGGGATAGGACAGTATAGGATAGTAGATGATATGATATGGTCTTGATGTATTCGCAATGATTTGCATGTATCTTCCAACCAAGTCAAACGAATGTTTGAATTCAGACGAACTTGGTCCGATGCAGTTAACTGCGAAAGGCAAATCTGACGAAGTTGATCCGATGCAGGTTTGACGTTGATATGGACTAATCGTTGCCCATCTATGCCAATCTGCAAGAACGTGCCAAGAACAGCAAAGTCTGCCGCCCTGCCCAGTGAGAGCCTGCAATCTTACAGAGCTGAAAACAGGTTGAAGAACTTCCACCTTCGTGCGCTTGGCCGCTTGGCCCTGATCATGAGGGCCATGCCCGCCCACGAAAACGCAGCTTGACTGTGCTTGGCTCTATATTCCTAACCCTAAGCCTTCCAGCCTAAATCCTCGGACGTTACCCGGGTCCATAGACGTCCGACACTTGCCGACACCCTTACCGCCGGTGATGTAATCTGGCTGGGCAACCCTTCGAAAGTCGTTGGAAGAATCTACAGCTTGGTGGCATCATCCATGGGGAGGCCAAGCGATGCGTGAGGCTATGAAGCGGCACCTGCGCTATGCCAGGAAGACGACACATCGCAGTGCTATGCCGTTGGTGTCGGGCGACCGTGTCATCGCATGCGAGCAGACCTCGATGCCTGGTCTAATTCGTAGGTGTCGCTATGTGAGCTGTGAGCGCGATGTCACAGTCTACCATGTACATAGAGCAAGGCGCCGTTTTGCTGTTGGTCTGCCCAACAGCTGCCAACACGCCGGGGCTAAGTCCCCCTGCTCGGCTTGAAGACTGTCTTCGAAGGCCGCGAGTGAGTGAGTGAGGCGCCGTTTTGCGGACCTTGTCTCATCATTTGTGTGAAAAACAAAGGAATCCACTCAACTCTCGGTCACAAAGCCGTGAAAAGCAGAGGAATCCACTTAACTCCCGATCACAAAGCCCTGGGCAACCAATCGTAGATCGAAGCAGTGCAAAGCAAGCAAGCAGGACGATCGGAAATTGCTACCGTTGGCATAACAAACTAGGGCCGTATTAGCTAACAAGCTAGTGGCCTGTGTAGGACCAAAAGGATTCGAGGCATTCCCCTTGCACAGACAACTACAAGCGATAGGCAAATCTGACGAAGTTGATCCGATGCAGATTCCACACTGATATGGACTAATTGTTGCGAATCTGTGCGAATTCGCATGTTTTGAACATATCTTCTAGTCATATCGGAAGAATGTTTCAATTCTGACGAAGTTGGTCCGATGCAGCTAATTGAGATAGGCAAATCTGACGAAGTTGATCCGATGCAGTTTCCACACTGATATGGACCAATTGTTGCGAATCTGTGCGAATTCGCATGTTTTGAATATGTCTTCCAATCATGTCGGATGGATGTTTCAATTCTGACGAAGTTGGTCCGATGCAGTTAACTGAGATAGATCCGATGCAAACAATACTCTATTATAGTAAGATATAGTATAGTACAACATAGGACATAGGACAGTATAGTAGAGTAGAGCAGTAGCATACTATCAATGGAACGAAGGGAGAGCAGGACATTCCTACAGATCTTGTCCTGCTGCACCAGGCGAGGAACGTACTCTTCCAGAATGGCTTGGATGTCTTGTCCAACGTTTGCTGGGGCCTGGCCGGCAGATAGTACTGGCTGTCTACCGAAGCTTTCAGGGGAACTCTCCACCCAGAGCCCGCAAATCTGAGACCTATAACCCTACAAGAAAAACAGCCTAAGCTGAAATGCCTCCTGGTGCGACGAATCCACAACAGCGGCCGAAGCAGGCTTGCCAGGTAGAGCACATTTGCCGCGGACATGCTCCCGTGCTTTGCGCAGTGTCAAATCAGCATAGTACTTCGGATTAGGCCGCTGGGCTTGGAAGTGACAAGCCTCTGCTGCTTCCTGGATTGTCGCGCCTGGATGCTGCTCGAAATACTGACATGCCAGCTTCCAGTCCTCAGCGCTCCGATCCGCATGGGACTCTTTTGGCTGGACAGCTTGCCTGGGTTGGTGCTTGACAGCCTTCTTAGGAGCTGCAGACCCAACTTGAATACCATGCGGTGTCACGGAAAGCACCGGGTTGGCAGTTAAATCGAGGTAGCACTGCTCGTCCATGTCTTGTACTGCACTGTGCAAGATACTGACACTGCAACCCTTGGCAGGTTTGCAATTGATACTGCCGGGAAGCCGGCCTACCTGAGTGACCTTGGCGGATGCCATGTCCCCTCCCAATCCTGAGGTAAGCTCCCGTGTAACGTCTAAGGCCGACTTGCTTGGGAGGTGTTGTGGCAGAACCAACCACAGCTGATAGCATCCTGGGGACGTCTCAACCAGCACACGCGGTCTCAGTGCCAGCAGTGTCTGCAGCTGGCCATTGTAGTTGTCTAGGTCGACCATGACCAGGCCGGATATGTTCGGTCGGATGAAGAAATGGCCACCTATTGCGAGCCACCGCTCCAACTCACAGAAAATGAGCTCTTTTGAGGCCTGCGGTTTGGAAAGCAGGGCCTGCTTACGAGCAGGGTCTAGTATGAGCACATTGTAGCTGTTGGCCTCTGGGAAAGCCCGCAAAAATTGCAAGGCCGCCCCCGCACTGACAGCCATCAGCACTTCTCAATCCTTGCATCTCTCGAAGGGCCTGCGCACGGCCATTCTAGCAGCTTCCACAGCCCTGCCACGGGCATGCTAGCAGCTTCCTCAGCCCTCGCACGACCATGCCAGCACCCTCGAAAGGCCATGCTAGCACCTTCATGAGCCCAACAGTTTCAGAAAAGAGTCCCGAAGTCATGCCACTCCAACTGCAGGACACTCGGACTCTAGCATTCCGTGTCAGAGTTGGGTCGTCGTTGTCGTCGTAGTGGTGGTGGTGAAGCTAGCAGCAGTAGTAATAGCAGTAACCGTTGTACTGGTCCTAGTAGTAGCAGCAGCAGTGGCAGCAGTCCTAGTTGTTCTCGTCATAGCAGTACTAGTCGTACTCGTACTTCTTGTCGTCGTAGTGGTGGTGGTGAAGGTAATAGTAGCAGCAGTGGTAGTAGCAGTAATCCTAGTTTCACTTGTCCTAGTAGCAGCAGCAGCAGCAGTAGCAGTAGTCCTAGTTGCTCTCGTCACAGCCGCAATAATAATAGTAATACTAGCTCGTCGTCGTCGTCGTCGTAGTAACGTCGTAGAATAAGAAAATCCGCTCCCACACAAGGTGGTTTGGCACGTTGGAGAAGCTTCACGACCACAACGCGCACCGCGCAGCACGTCCCACGGGGAATCGGGAGGATTCACCCCACACCAGAACCAACCACCCCACGAACCCACCCCACACCACAGGGGAGGGGGGGGGCGGGGGGAGCCACCCTATCCAGGACCATTGACCATTGGGGGGGGGGGGGGGGCGGGCCGCGGAGTGCGTGACCATGTATAGGATTACGTCGAGAGTTCCTACAGGAGCTAGTGCGATCTTAGGGCATTTGCCGATCTACCAGGGACCTTCACGCAAAGATCCCAAACGCAATAATCTATACCAACGAGGACGGCAGTGTGATCTGGAACCAACTACACAAACTTCCCATGTTCCTTTCGGATTCGGAAAGACTCCGGGTGAAGAAGAGAGTTTGTGGGGGACGAAGGAGGCGAAACAGAGGTGGCATCACGATTTACTTCGGCAAAGGTGCCCCCAGCAGCTCCTGCCGACGATTATTCCGTGTATTCCGAGGAGGGTGATTTCTATGTCTCGCGAGTCAAATAAGCAAAACACGCACTTCCGCTCTCTTCTTTCACTCACGTTTGTTTTTCCTTATTCAATTTACGGTCACATTTCCAACATTAAGATCCTATGTGATGAATTCTGTAAGGGTGGGTTTACACCTAAAGATGGGTAATAAAGATCTACAACTAGGATCTGATGATAAATACTGTAACTAAATATTTAGTCATTAGGAAATATTCGGAACTACTATGGAATTAGTCACCTATAGGCCACGTTAAGATTTACAAGAAGATAACGCTTAGAAGATTACTGTAAATTTTTGAAGGGAAAATTGACTCACGATCTCCAAGAGGCTGAATGAAAACAGCTCAAATTCCAGGGGGTCCTCGTCCCGCAACGCCGAGTCCGCTCACGAAGCAGATGTGGGGTTGTTCGACGAACCCGCCAGGGTACGGAAGATCGCGAAAAGGTGTCCAGGCTTGTTGGCTCGCCAACCCATGGTCGAAGAAGCACATCGTTTGTTGGTCATGAAAGTGGTGGAAAGTTCATCTCTCAACACAGTATTGCCGGTTTTTGTCAAGTATTACCGGCAAGTACTGCCCTACCAGATCCTACCAGCTGGCGCGGATGCTCTGGTAGAGGGCGAAGTCCTGCATGCAGTAAACATCGCCTGCAAAGGACAGAAAGCTTGGAATGATGTCACCCGCGGCACACCGTTGGAAGTGGTACTGCCCGAAAGGTCTTCCTTATAGTGTGCATGGAAGAGTTCCGCGAATTTTTTGCAGAGGCCCGTCGGGAGCAAAACCCTCGCCCCTGGGGCCAGAGACCTTGGTGGAAGGGCGAAGCTATAAGGGTTCAAGAAAGGAAGGCACTCCGAAAGGCAACTTGAAAGGAGATTCTTCACGCTTGATCCTGAAGCTATATGCATGGGGAACATGGGGAGCTTGCCCGTCAGAACTTGAGTGCCGGTAGTCCTGTGCATCGCAGCCACCAACAACCACGCGTTTCTTGCCACGGTCCTCAAAACGCAAGCCTTCCAAGGACTCCGTCTTCAACTTCATGACACAGATGTAAGTACTTCTCTCGCTGTGGCTGTCCTTATGCTTGGGGATCTGCTCCACAGACTGAATGACACTTGCAGTCCATGACGCATTCAGCTCTGGCCAGTTCTTATTGAGCTTGGTAGCCAAGCAGCTGAAGACGTAGCGTGCCGCCCAGGGTAAGTCACGACCATATCTGATCCCGAACGAGCCTCCGTCGACAAAGGCCCCCAAAACCCAAACCCTGAGTTTCTGGAGCTCTAGGGACCTTGAGGTTCCCGTGTTCCCGCGTGTTCTGGCAAACAGGGCTAGCAATCGAGCACAACTTTTTTCACCATAACGACGATCCACATACAGCTGCTTGGCAATCGCCTCGAAGTACTGGATGTCACCTGCGCGCAAATACTTCATCTGTCATCAGCCTCTGAGGTGGCACATCAGATAGTGCTTCCGTCGAAAGATAAAAGCCATCCAACTTTGACACCCCAGGGGTGTTTGATCTTATCCTTCGGGCTGGTGGTGGTAGCACAGGAGGTGGTAAAGGAGTTTCTTCAGCAGGAGTGTCTTCACTCACTTCTGGATCGACAATCACAGCGGACGCCCACCTCGAATATCCGTTGATGGACCAACATACTTGCCTGGGTAGCGTTCAGTCTTGATGTAGTAGCCGACCGGCATCGGAGACAGAACACCAAGGCGTTCACACCGCTGCAGGGCCGCTGCATATTGAGCCGCCGTAAGCCAGTTTTCCGTTCCCGACTACGAGTTTGGGGAGTTTGGTGGGTGGTTGGCAGGGCGGGTTCTGGGAGGGAGTTTAGGGAATTTGGGCGACCTCCCCAAACGTGTGGGGAGTTTGCAGAGTTTGGGCATCCTCGACAAGAAGAGACTGAAAGCTTCCTCCAATCTAATTGGACAGAAGAAAGCGCCATCTCAACAAAGCAAACAGGCCCCTCCAACTTCACACGAGAAAAAAGAGGGCTCCGTTTACCTCTCGGTCGGCAAGAAGAGGCCTCCTTCCTTTCTTGATAGGGGGAGGGGATCTTGATTAATTATTGCCATTACCTTGTTAAAGATGGAAAAGAGTCCCTTCTTCCTCCTCAATCAAGGGATAGAAGAGAGATAGCAGAAGTGAGGACAGAGCTCTGTCAATCTTCAGAGAAGAGTTTGATCCTCCCCCCAGCCTTCAACACGACATGAGCAGCCCTCTACCTCATCCTCTGACATCATCCTCGACAAGAAGAGACTGAGAGCTGAGAGCTTCCTCCAATCTAATTGGACAGAAGAAAGCGCCATCTCCTCATGCTCCAAAACAAAAAGAGAGTCCCCATTTTATTCGTGGCAACAGCTAGAAGAGAGCATCCTTCTAGCAGAGATCTTGTTCACCTCTTGGTAGGTCGCCTTTTAGTCTTAAGAAGATTGACGAGATAGCAAGAAAGGACAGATCTCCCCTAACTTCCAAAAAGAAAAATCTTCTACTTCATCCTTCACAAGAAATGACTGAGAGCTTCGTACCTCGTGACGAGGAACGAGTTACGACTATGTGTGCTAGCCCGATAATCTTCCCACCGAAACCATCGCAGGTGTGTCGGCTAGGAACGAAGTTTCTATTGCTATCTACTTATAAGTGATTCATCTAGGCCCGGGGGGCGTGACGCGCAAGAGGGTTCAGGGCATTTGGAGCATGGGTTCCAAGCCCTGGACTTGAAAATGATTTGTTGTAGTAGGGTTTGATTATTTTTCCATCGATCAGTCAGCGCAAGAACAACAGCCTCTCCAAACAAGTATCGTCCCTTCCCAAGAAAACGCGGCACGTTTTGGAACAAAATCGTCGTGAAAGCTACAAACCTACAACTTGTGATGTAGCCAACCCAAACTGCAAACCGCAAGCAAGCATATCTTCCTGACTTTGTCGGCTGTTTTATGATTGGGAATCCGAATCGCAGCACAGTTCAGGCACATGACTCACGTGACAGTGACAGCTTGACAACTTATCATCCAATCTTGCAAGAGGACGTAGGCAGTAGGCATAGCCTAGCTTGCTTGAGGTGTTACATTGGATAAGCCAAGATAAGCCAGATCTTTTCGTTGTGTAGTGTCATAGTGCTATGGCAGAGCCTGCCATCTTTAGGCTTCCAGATCCTGGGGACGGTGAGCTTGAGGACAGAGAGTCCGAGTCAGAGGCCGAGGAAGCTCCCAGGTCTGCAGGTGCCCTGCGGACTGTTCGATATAGGGACAGACTTCGAAATGCTTCCCGTGCAGAGGTTTTGTTTCTGTATGCGAAAACCTGTGGCGACGAATCAGAATCTCTGGGCACCGCTGCTGCAGGGAATTATTTGTTTTGTGTTGCTGAGCTTGGGGGAAAATGCATCAAGCCGTTGGGTGCCCAAGAGCACTTGCAGCAGCAAGATACTTGGCGAGCTCGGCGTCAGAAACGTCGCGATCGAGATTTCGCCGCTAAGCAGATGTCCCTCCAGAACCAGACAACCCGAAACCAGATGTTCAAGTGCTGTTTGAAGTCTCTTTTTCGTTTCAGGGCAGCTGTCCAGTTGGGGCCTGCCCAGGCTGCAGTGGCAGGTGCCTGGTGCCGGGCACCTGCAGCTGCTAACCAGGGTGCGGTGACTCCTGTTCCTGCGATGCCCGCCTTGGCTGGCAGGTTGGCGGTTTTGCCTGCAGGGCAAGCGCAATGGGTTTTTCAAGCTGCTGCGCCAAGCGTCATCTTCGAAGCCGTTGCAGATCGCCAGGGCCTTTACACTTGCTTTGCAGACGGACAGGCGGCGGAGCCTGAAGTAGGCACTGCGAGGCGTTACCTAGGGCGTCCTTTCTGGATGGTTCGCTTGCCACCAACTGTCATGAAGCATTTGATGGAG